GTCTTTCTTTAGACCTGAAATGTTTTCTAAATTATTAATTAGACATTAATTAACTTATCCAGGCCATAATCAACTCTCGATGGGATTTCTACGATATTAAATAGATTAGAACAGTTCGGCCATATTTTGATTTAAGCTAAAAATGGAGGAGCGAGACTTAGCTTCGAATAACCAGTACAGTGGTCGAAAATATTGCACACGTCTTGATAAACCTTCAAAGGGTAATATCTTCGCTCGCAATAGAGTAATTTGAATGAAATTTTCACATTATTCATTTAACATTATCTATTTTCGAAATATTATAGCAATAATGGCTAGCTCTTTATCTAAATCTTACATAATGTATCATTAATAAAGTAAATTTAACCATACTGGCAGAATGAACTCTTGAGATATTGCCCAGCTAACTCCAGTCTACCAGAATCATCACATAAGATTATGATTTCAGTGTTCCACTGTTCACTATTTGTAACATAATTACTTATTCCCATGCAAACTGTGATGATATATGTTGGAAATGTTGCAATTGAACCTAACTTTACTTGCTCAAATCCTCGAATAGTGTATCAATTGCAGCTGTAGATAAGAATTATCACGGCTAAAAATTGCAGCTAAATAACAACCATCATCGTCATATTCTTCAACATTTCTACAAAGCGCTCTATTGACATGCCAGTGTATGTTTGCGATTGTATCCTAGTTCGTCCATTCTTTCAATGACATTGACTCGGCTTCCTTTTTCAATCGAACACAATTAGATGAGCTGTCGTTAAATGTATTTTGAACCCGAAAACTACATTCAACTAATCTTTGGTTAAACAATATATACATTATATGACAACTTCTTATTTTGTTTATAGATTGTTCAGTATATAATGGCTAATCAAATTATAATACCTAGGGAAAATCCAGCAAATTGCAAAGCAGTGTTCGTCAGTTTGTTAAAGCAGACGTACGTCCATTCTGTTGCTGACATGTTATTAACTTTGTTCATATTGTGTTTCATAGGGTTTTCATCTTGCTCCGGTAGCTTTATAAACAGAATGCACAACTACAATCCTACTAGACAGCTGTTCTTGTCAGGCCCTCAGTCAAACCGGAACCCGCGACCGCGACCCAGCGCCTTACCCACATGGACCCCAAATTTGAAAAAGTTCTGTCAAAACGGAAGAGAACCCGGGACCGCCAGGCTAGCGAGCCAGCGCCTTACCCACCGTGGACCCCAAATTTGAAAAAAAGATCTGTCAAAAGCAAAACTATAGCCTCTATCGCGTTTACAAGGTTTTCTAAAAAAAAAGGGGGTATAACTCTGTAAAGCGATGAGTGACCCAGAACAGTAGGAACTTAAGCTTCATTTGATTTTGTCTCATGATCGCAATGTTTAACAATTTATTTAAAAAGAATCCGCGTTGACGAGGTTTTCGGAAAAAGGGGCATAACTCAGAACGCATAGTCTCACAATGCTGCATGATCACAATGTTTCACACAAGGTTTACGGAAGGTTGTATCGCGTTCACAACCAAATGTAGCTTATATAGAATTAAAAAGGTTTTCAATGTTTGTCGAAATAGCTTACGTGGGCTATTGGGTGAGGTCATAAATAATTACTTCGTGTTTGGCTTCAGTTGTTTATTAAAGACATTAAGATCAGAAGGTGTTTTATGTATCTAGATCTCGAAATATGTATCAAACTAATGTGTTGTTAAACAATTTGACATTCATTATTTAATTACATCTCCTAAATATTTATACAGATATTACTGTGTTCATACATTCGGGTAGTGTTTATCTTTTTTAAACGTATATCTATTAATAAATCAATACCTAAATCATAAAACCAGGGAATAATCCAGTCAAGTACAATCCTGATGTGAGACCCATAATAAAGGCATCATCTCCTGTGAATGTTGACATTGTATTTATCTTAGATTCTATTAGGAAACTTGAATCATCTTCGCAGACATTGGTAGCGTCAATTTGGATACAGTTAACTTGTAAAGACGATTTTTTGGTATGGAATAAGACTGATTATGACGAGATCGATCGTATTATAATCCCAGCTAAAAGGGTATGGATTCCAGATTTATACTGTCTCTACAATCCGCCATCTTAATACCTGAAGATTACAACAAACTCTCTGTTGACATCAACGGCACAGTAACTCGGGACCGGTGCCTGGAGAAAGACCATTGGTTGGGCAAGACCGGAAGACGGGCTATCAAAACTAACAATGTTCATGCAGTTGATGAAAATATAGATGAGGAAATCATTAGCTGGCAGGACGTGTCCAGAGCATGTGATCGGATTATGTGCTATATAATGTGTACTGGAGCATTGCTAATCTCTATTGTCTGTGCTAGCTTTATTTTTAAGTAAGTATTTAGCTACTGCCTTGGTGTGAATGTTTTCGACGATAGGATGTGTGTAATCTTTTCTAATCTGAAAATTCTACAAAGCGTTTTCTCCTTCATACCAGTGACCATTGTGATCAAGATGGACTATGAAAATAATATGAATATTTAACGTCAATTCACCCATCAACATAGGTAATATATTTCTCATAAGGCCAACTTCAAGCTTGCCCAAAGGTCACAAGATGTAAACATGGGAAGTGTTTTAGTCCCAACCCTAACCCTGGGGCTAGCCCTAACCTACAATATCGCCAACAATCATGTTTTTAACATTATTTACATCTCATTGACCATGACGAAATCTTGAGTTGGCCTTAGGAAATAGATCTAGCCATCAATAAGCTATGATATAAACTGATAGAAATACAATGAACTGAATGGTGTTTGACCTCTCACTTTTGTTCCCAATCTGATTAAAATACAGATCTATATTTCATTTCGTTTTTTTTATACTTTCGATGGCCTAAACTACATGAAGATCTGACCAGTTGTACTGGGAGGTCGTGTCAGGGGCCATACCAGCGGTATTTTGACACTATGACGTCAGATATTTGATTAACCAACCAGTGCTGACGTTTCTTGTAGGATACCCACAGTTCCGTGCATCGCACGCCAAGATCGTGCTGCAACAGACCGTTTCATTGGCTGAAACAGGATTTGTGTTTTAATCGGATTGGTTTGTCCCCCATTCGGATTAAATGCAAACTGACATATTTTACAGGGGTAACGTTACACGAGGATCTAACCCGGGACCATCTAATTAGTGAAAAGGGCCCTTATTCACGAAAACTTAAACTAAGATAAAATCGAAATTTTAAGAAATACTGCAATTCGATTGGCTGACCAGTAAAATCAATTTGTTTTATATCCAATGAAGATGCAGTATTTCTTAAAATTTCGCTTGTAACTTAGTTTAAGTTTTCGTGAATAAGGGCCCTGGTCAATAACTATTTCTGTTCTGATTTTAGTACTTCTATAAATCTGTAAATATTAGAGTTGTTGGTGGATACTTTGTTTAATTTTGAATGCCAGCCCTCGACGTTATTGATTGTTCTTGGGTCATCAGTATAAAAATCATTCCATATGCTCATATTAACTACTCAATCTTCATCATAGTAGAGAGTGTCCACTACAAAATCGCATGTGAACGAAACATCAGCTAGTGAACTTAGACCATGGATTAAAACTGTTCATACGATGAATAATGTGCCTGCAAACTTGGAGCACCCCGCACACAGGTCACATTATTCTGTGGTATGAAAGTTATAAGGAACAGCTGTGGCATGAACGTTGCGCCTGGTTGCAAGGAAAGCTGTCACGGATAAGATCAGCCAATGTGGCACTCCCGTACTTTTGTTCTTTTTCAGTGCTTATCCAGTTTTTCCACAATCTAATTATACATATCTTCGTTTTCAGTACTTAACCAGTTTACAGTATCCATAAAATTGTACATTGTGTTCTTATTTATGTTGTTTGATATGAGTATGCCACTCACGTTTTTGGAACTTGATGTAAATATTTAGGACTTTCCATACCGTAGAATCGAGCTGGTCTGACTATCCAATACGACATAAAAAAAACTGATTCGTAGAAGATATATGTATCTTAGGAAGGTATTCTGTTTTGGTTATTTGTATATATAAGAAAACTTGATACGTGTTTGTGGCTGATGATATTTTGATTAAAGTGAATTATTGTAAAAAAATGTTATTTTCATACATTGTTAGAGACGTTGGCAAGACGCCCCGCCCCGTTCCATTCATACCGCATTACCCGAATTGCTGCCGGCTAATCCCTTACCGAACTAATATTTAATATTCACAATATAAGACTGACGTTGTGCGGGTAACAATATCTTAGAAACTGTCGTAAAAGTGCCGCAAACCGATAATACTAAATGATTGATCTAGATGAGTAGCGCGATTAGCGTCAATTATGGTATTTACCGATGTCAAAATTTGTGATTAAAATTTTCATTAGAGAATCTTTTCGTGCGTAGGAATATAAAATTGTACTACGAATTTTATTTTTCCGGGGGTGATTTTCAAACATAATGGTCGGCCACATATTCCAACCATGGAATGGCGTATGTCCGTCTTCATTAGCCCAGTTCGGAGCATAGCAGTAGGACGTTAAACCCCATTTCATTTCATTTCAACATTTAATAAAGCGCTATATTGACATGTCATTTTCAATAGGTATATATTTCATAGTTCATTTATTATATTAATTGATAATGTTTGTTTCAGCTTCATTTATCAATCGATCACAATTAGATCAGAGGCCGTTACATGTATTTTGATCTCGAAAACTACATTAAGCTAATTTGTCGTTAAACAAAATGTCCATTATATGTTAACTTCTAATTGTGTTTGTAGATCCTAATGGTTTTCACTTTGTTCAGTATATAATAGCTAATCAAATACCAGGGAAAAATCCAACAAATTACAAAACAATGTTCATCAGTTTGTTAAAACAGGGGGCGTTTTAGGTATCTAGATTTCGAAATCTGCATCCAACTAATGTGTTGTTATCCAATTTTACATTCATTATTTGATTACACCTCCTTAATATTTATACAGATATTACTGGGTTTATCCATTCGGCATAGTGTTTACCTTGTTCATTATATAATGGCTATTAATAAATCAATACCTAAATCATAAAACCAGGGAATAATCCAGTCAGTTACAAGGCAGTGTGCATCAGTTTGTTAGAACAGACGTATGTCCATTCTCTTGCAGACATGTTGCTAACTTTGTTAATATTGTGTGTCATAGGATTTTCATCTTGCTCCTGTAGTGTTATAAACAGATTGCACAAGAAATTATTTGAGAACTACAATCCGGATGTGAGACCCATAACAAACCCATCAGCTGCTGTGAATGTTGACATTTTATTTGTCTTGGATTCTATCCGGAAACTTGAATCATCTTCGCAGACATTGGTAGCGTCGATTTGGATCGTGTTAACATGGGAAGACAAATTTTTGGTATGGAATAAGACTGATTATGACGATATCGATCGTATTGTAATCCCAGCTAAAAGGGTGTGGTTTCCAGATTTATACTTTTCTAACAGTGTGTCTCTACAATCCGCCATCTTAACACCTGAAGATTACAACAAACTCTCTGTTTACAACAACGGTACAGTAAATTGGTACATTGGACGAACAACCGAAACAAGCTGTAAGATGAATCTTGGAAAATTCCCGTTCGATACACAGACTTGTTCCATTGATTTGGCACATTGGACAAGCACAGTGTCAGAGGTGAAGCTTTCAAATAACGAAAAGGTACACGGACTGGTTACAGCAAGTGGTACATGGAACTTGGTGCATCTTTTGACTAGTGAAGAATTCATCGTTGATTACCAGGCCCAACAGATAATACTCCAGTTTTCTTTATCAAGAAATTCATTGTTTTATGTACTGACCATCATTTTGCCCATCTGTCTGTTAGCGGTTTTGAATCCTGTTGTTTTCCTAGTTCCGGCTGAATCTGGAGAAAAGATTTCACTACCTGTTTCCATTCTCCTGGCCTATTCTGTCACACTTTCTGCGCTATCAGAATTGTTACCAGAAGTTTCAGACAACATCAGTATTTTAGGCGTCTACATCTGCACAATGTTGTGTTTGAAGGTTGTATCTGTTGTGGCTTCTGTTGTAGCCGTGTCACTTTATCACCGTTCGGGGTCGGTGCCCGGAGAAGGAGTTTACCATTGGTTGGGCAAGACCGGAAGACGGGGTATCAAAAATAAGAATCATCATCTAGTTGATGAAAATACAGATAAGGAAATCATTAGCTGGCAGGACGTGTCTAGAGCATTTGATCGGATTATGTTTTTTATAATGTGTGTTTTAGCATTGCTAATCTCTATTGTATGTGCTAGCTTTATTTTTTAAATAAGTATTTGAAATCCAGCAAAGTTTTATAAAACTACTTTCTTTGCTACGATGTAAAATTTTGAAACATTTGTAATGGTTTCGATGTTACGAATGGTGTAATCTTTGCTTAAATGCTTTCCACTTTTAACATCATTTGACCCCTTGGACGAGGTATGGAGAAAAGTGGAAATATTAACATGACGCAAATTAACTGAATGGTTAGGGACTTTTGTCGGTTAGTACCGAGATCGAACCCGGACCGTCTGGTTAGTGAGCAGGTTAATTACAAAGCTGAAGGTGAAAGAAAGGGTAAGGACGCTGAAGTTTAAACCCATGAACCTGACTGAAAAGAAGGTCAAGGGTGAAATAGAGGTTTATTGCACGTCAGCCGGTGGGTTCCTTTTGCCAAATGCGTGAATCGAGATTGAAGTCTTAAACCCCGATTACAAAAATACAGAAATAATAAAATAATACAAATTAACGTCCTAAACAATTGCCTAACTTGTTTCCAATTTGTAGAACAAACATGGCTACTGATTACGACGTGTAAGAATAGAGACAGGCCACGCCCATACCTCCCCGGACTTTCGATGAGATTTACCTTGGGCATTTCCCTGCATAGACACAATATCTTACTCAAATCAAACTGAATCAAGCTTATCTCCAATGGCTTCCTCTAGTACGTTTCTCAGGAAACACTTGTCTATGATGTTACCCTTGGTGGAAGTGGACGTAAAACTCTAGTAACTTAACGAAAGAATGTCACACCCAGTATATTCCTTGTCAAGCACAGTTTCCACATCCGGCTAGCTATATTTCAACTACCAATTACACACTCGTCTGATTGATGTTTTTTTTTTTTTTGGGGGGGGGGGGCACGAAAATATTATTGTTACACAATTATTATGTCTAATCAGGTACATCATATTTTACTAATTAGACGATGTACTTTTGTACTAAAAATAAGAGAACAAAACTGCCTTACCCCAAAACAATAACAAATCTAACAATCCCAGCCATTTTTTTTTATTTCGTGATTGAAATGTTTTGCACAACAACGTAGAAACAACAAATAACTTTCTACATCATAAAGTCTTGTATTAGTGTTGAAGAATATATCCAAAGCAAACAAAAATTGTTCTCTCCATTAAATAAGTATGTTTTCACTTCAAAATAGTAACGTAACGTTCACTATCTTGTTGTTTATGACTGTTATGTCCCGTGACAACAACACAGAATTCGTTGTTATTGTTTGGGGTTAGGCAGTTTTTCTCTCATTTTTAGAGCAAACGTACATCGTGATTGGCTTATTTCAGACATAATAATTTGAGCAAATATTACTGTAATCATCCGGGCGGGTAAGACGCTGGCTCGCTAGCCTGGAGGTCGCGTGTTGGATCCCTGCATTGGCCGAGAAAGTTCATCGGGATTTTCCGACGTGGTTTCCCCTTGTCAGTGGTGCAGGACAAGAGGGCCTAACAACGACAGCTGTCTAGTAGTTCGGATGTTACGAAAAACCGAGGTCCCGTGTCAATTCGAATTAGATATATGAGTAGGTGCATAGTGCCGCTGGCGAATGCCCGTCTTCATTTGCCCAGTATAGGAGTAGAACAGTAGGACGTTAACCCCCAAATTCATCTCTGTAATCATCCTATTGTATTGCGTATATTGGAGGTGTGTGTGTGGAGGGGGGCAGTTCAGGTGATCTTGTAGCCGACTTTAAATCAGCAAATAGTTTACACCTAAATTAACAGATAAGCTGACGTAGGAATATATCGATACATCAAAACTGTATCGATACGAATTTGTTGCCAAGGGACATATTGCAATATATCCATATATTAATATTTTTGGCGACCCTAATTGGCTCCGTTCTTGACAGGCACACATCTTCATAATTTGCTGTGGACGTATATCGTTAATGCACCATTCCGTTCGTCCGTAGATACTCCATCTTTGTTACTCATACTTGTTGGATCTATCATTCGTTTGATTCTTAGTAGAATATGGAACAGGTAAGCGAAATTTCAAATATCGACATTAACAAATTGGTAAAACTAAAGAGAGGCGCACAAATTTGATACGAGAATGTCACTTAAAATGTAAACTTAAGCCAATGGCACTAGACTAGAGTCTTGGGTTATAACAAAGCATAGAGACCATTTGAAGAAGATGCTTCTCAATTTTGAGCTTTCCGGAATTTGTCTTTACATAGATATTGCCCTTGACCATAAAAGGTTGTCAATAGTTGTGGCAATTAGCTGCAACATTACACAATGTGGGCAGCAATTTTTAACATGGCCATCGTGGTCTAATATAGAGTCAATTTTGCAAAACGAAACCACCCAAGACAAATTATTAATATATGATTCAGAGAGACAGAGAGAAATGCGGTTTAACGTCTACTCGGGACTAACACATGGTTCAATTTTATTTTAATAATTCGCTTCCGTGTAGGGGTCTTTAGTAGTCGGAGGACCCGGAGAAAACCCACTAGGTTGGACAGGCGACCCTACTCCTTGTCACGTACAGCCGTGGAAACGAAACCACGCCAGTTGACTCAATGCCAGACTTTATGATACAGGCAAACACGTGCTTACCATTCGGTCATCCAACCCAACTTTTATAAGAACAGTAATATATGCTCAAGTAAATAGATAGGATAATACATTTGGTTACGTCCTCGGATTTTTTCGGTGTGGTTTCCCCTTGTCAGTGGTGCAGGACGGAGGGCCTTTCAAAAAAGGATTTTCCAAGTCTGATGGAAGCAAGTGGTACCTGGCACCTAGATCATCTTTTGACCAGTGAATAATTCACGAATAACAACAGTTGATACTCCAGTTCAAGATATCCATTATTTTACGTACTGCCCATTATTTTACCCATCTGTCTTTTAGCGGTTTTGCATCCTGTTGTTTTCCTAGTTCCGGCTGAATCGGGAGAAAAGATTTCTGTACCAGTTTCCATTCTCCTGGCCTATTCTGTCATTCATTCTGTGCTATCAGAATTGTTACCAGAAGTTTCAGAAAATATTAGTATGTTGTGTTTGAAGGTTTTGTCTGTTGTTGCTTCTGTTGGAGCCGTGTCGCTTTTTCACCGTTTTGAATCGGTGCCTAGAGAAGGGGTCTACCATTGGTTGGGCAAGGCGGAATCATCTAGTTGATGAAATTAGAAATGCGGAAATCATTAGCTGGCAGGGCTGTCCAGAGCATTTGATCGGATTATGTTCTATCTAATGTGTGCTGGTGCATTGCTAATCTCTATTGTCTGTGCCGTCTTTTTTTTTAAGTAAGTATTTAGTTACTGCTTTTGCCTCGGTATGCATATTATTTATGTCACAATTGTAATGTTTTTGATGGTAGGACGTGTGTAATCTTGGTTAATCTGAACATTCTACAGAGAGATTTCTCATTTAATTTATTCCAGTGTCTATTGTGCTAAAGACGGACTATGGATTATTGAAATAAAATTGAACCATATGTTAGTCCCGAAGTGGCCTAGTCCGTGTCAAGTGTTAATCGTTAAGCATTTATTCAAAAAGAACGGGGCATAACGCTAAAAATTGAAAGGCTCGTCCTCTCATGTTCACAATGCTTCACACAAGGTTTTTAGAAAACAGGGCGGGGATACTAACAATCGACAGGGTTCGTCCTCTCCAGTACTGTAACCTCTATTGCGTTCACAAACCAATCAGTTAAAAACTGTAGCTTATATAG